AGTTTGTTAAACTTGACTATTCATCCCCTTTTCATATGCAACTTTCTCATTCTCATCCACCATGCAGAACTTTCAGCAGGAAATGGCTCTCCAGCCTGATGCTGCCCCATGGCAGTCCTGGAGTCTGGAGCGTGTCACCCTCACCCTGAGCCAACGCTTCCCTGGTTGCCATATCTGGGTCATCCGTGCATCCCGAATGTACCTACACAAGTTCAGCTGCTATCAGAACTTTGTAGAGAGCAACCTATTTGGAGCACCAGAACACACTCCAGACTACGGAGCCGTTCGCCACCTGAGGGCACTCCTGGGTCACAGCATGCAGCGGGCTGGCCTCCCAAACCCTTTACCCCCTCTTAGTGGTACATCCACCCCTGGCCCCCTGCCTGCAGGTTTCACCCTCACCATAGTGGGCTTCAGTAAAGGATGCGTTGTTCTCAATCAGATAGTGTATGAGCTGGCTGGAGTGCGAGCAGATCCAGAACTGAGGCTGTTTCTGGACAGCGTTTCAGATATGTACTGGCTGGATGGAGGACACCCTGGTGGCAGTGAGACGTGGGTGACCGATAAGTGTGCTCTGGGTGAGCTGGCCTCCAGTGGGGTGGCTATCCATGCCCATGTCACTCCATATGAGGTATGCGACCCAATGAGGGCGTGGGTTGGGCGAGAGCACCGCCACTTTATAAAGACTCTGGAGGATCTGGGTGCTTGTCTTAGCCAGAAACTGCACTTTGAGGATGAGCCGGCATCCATCGAGAATCACTTCCGGGTGATTCAGGAATTCTGACTGTTCTTGATCTGTGCTTTCACAAGTCTTAACATGGAATGTATTCTTTTCAGAGCAGACAACTTTGTATTGCACTGATATATCAGTTAGTCAAAAGCTTTGGGTTTCCAGGCTTTGAAAGAATAACTGTATGCTGCCTACAAAACACTCATAAAATCCAAGAGAAGACTGAGCTTAATGACCAACCTTGTAAAAGCTGCCTGACATTAAGCCTTATTCGTTGCCTGTCTAACTACACCAGCTCTGTGATATAGTATGATATTTCTTTTACATTGTCTGTTTGGAATGCAGATATGCTTGTAAAATCATCACCTCCCTTATATTCAAAGGGCTCTCATTTCCCACAGCATAGAAAAAACCAAGAGAAATCTGAAAGTGCTTATTAATAATACATTTAATTTATGTTGTTAAATTAAAAAGCATGGATTTTTGTTCAAGTATGTATCCGTTATTACGTATGGATACTCTTGAATGAAAAAAAAAACGTATATTTTCTTTAGGAGTCCTGCTTAAGCATATAGTCTTACATCAGTGGATTTATCAGATGTTCATGTTCTATATTTGGTGTTTATTTGATTTGATAATCAAATTAAAAAAATCTAAGGATCTTCCATTAGAATCTAATGTACAGAATATATTTTTGGTCAGATGGAAAAAAAAAA